TCCACAAAAAGATAATACTTAGGAGATGGTATTGGATGTCGGATTTCAAGTGATTTTGATTGAATTCAAATTTCTATTAAATTCTAGTGTTATTGAATTAGGTATTTCATCAATTCTTTTAAATGTTTGTGTTATTCAATTATGCATTCTAATTTTCTCCTAAACTACTTTAAATTCTAGTGTTATTCTTCTTCTTTTTTTCAACCAAAATTATAATTAAAATATGCCACTACAATTGATTAACCAATTGGGTGGAATGTTGCTTACAAATAAAAAAAATAAAAGCTCAAGTAAATGCAGAACAGACTAAACAGTCCACCTTTAAATTAAGAGAACAAATCACCAATAATTCGCCTGAAAAATTATCTCAGAAAATATACTTATCTCAGAAAAAAACTTTTTAAAAGATCACCAATAATTCGCCTGCAAAATTATCTATCATATAAATGGGAATATTCTAATTAATGGACGTCTCCAAGATCCAAAATTTATGTAACATTAATTCTAATTTTCAAAAATGGAAATCTTTAATAAATGGAAATATTCGATTTTAAAAAGAAATTTAATATTTTTACATATCTGATTAATTAGGCAACATGATTATGATCTGAAATTTATGTATCATCAATTCCAAATTTAAAGTATGAAAATTTTTATTAAAATCTCCACAATAACGATCTTGTTGAAATATTCGAATTAAATAAGAAATACCATATTCTGATTAACTGATGGATGTTTACAAGATCCAGAATTTATGTACCATTATTTCGAATATTAAAACTATGGAAGTCATTAATAATATCTCCACAAACCGGTCTACTTATATTACAAAATAAATATTTTTGAATATATGATTTATTGTAATACAATTTCATTTAAGATTGAAAAAATATCTGAAACTTTTGTACCTTCATTTCCAGTTTTAAAAGATTGAAATTTTTAATAAATCCTCCACAACACCAATCTTTGGAGATCTTCGAAATAAATGAACAGAAAAAGATATTATTTCATATAAAAAATTAACTTAAATTTAAACTGAACATCGTTAATTATTTTTAACCAATAAATAATATTTTTTAATTTATTTGATTCCTAAAAAATATTTAACTGCATATACGCGGGGTGTCACCTAGTATAGTAGTACTTATGTGACTTCTGAAAGGAGGAAAATCATCTAGGATGAAAAAAGAAGAACTATTATTAAACTTTCTTAAGTTGAAATG